GGTGACAGAAGGCCCTCAAGGTACAGGTTTTGCCGCGGTTGCTTCACCTCTTTCAGAGATACTGGCTCTGCCGGGAGCCTGGGCCTCTTCCTCAGAGGCTCTGCAGACACTCTGATCCTCCTGTAGATGACCCTGTCCTGTGCCAGACAGATCCTGTCTGTGCCCAGCCACTCCCGGTACCTCCTCCCTCAGGCTGAAGGGCCAGGCCGGATTCAATCTGGTCTCCCTTGTTAGAGCGGAAATCTCGCTTCCTGTGAACCTCAAGCTCTGCTAACTGTAGAAGCGTCATCTTTATTTGCAGGTAGTCACAGAATAGGAGCAGAAGACCCAACTGACCAGCAAACAACATTAGAAGTAAGCTGATTTGATTCTGACTGCAGATGGGAACAGGAGGGTTGGGCATGAAGAGTCTCAGCTAGCAGTATTTCCTTATGATGTATTTATTATTTAAGTTTATAGATGTGCCTAGTGTCAAAACACTACCAACAAACTGGCCTGCACCAGACTTCACCAGAGCAGGAAGAGCAGCTCAGGCTAGCTACTGATTTCAGGTGCCTCATTGCAGGAGCTGCTCAGGTGAAGTGTTAATTCTTGGTATTAACAGACTTCTCTCGTTTAAAGCTAGTCTATTCTACATTGCTCAACAAATGCAAAGTGGTTAATATGAATATAAATACAGTGATTGTTGGATTGTTTCAATATACTCCTACTTGTATGCAGGGCTAGGACCACAAAATAGGAGCTGTCACTCTTTACTGACATTTTTCAGTCAGAAATCAAGCTTGCTGAAGTATTCTGAAGTGGACAGCATTACTTGCAAGCTGCTATGTCCATTAGCCCAGTATGTTTGGGTTTTGGTTTTCATATCCTATAGTTGCATAACTCAGGTAGATGATGTACAGTACTTCTCTGCCTGCCTCTTTTCTTCCTCTTTTATGTTTTGGGGAGTTTTCTTCCAAAGCAGAATGCATGGAAAGCTAGATAAATTTTGCTTTATGCACATGCTCATTCCTTTTGCTGAGATTTTCACTAAGCTTCTAAATTCCTGTGACTGAAGAATGATTCGTTCAGAGAAAAATCCTTTGATCTATGTAAAGAGTTGTCACTACTTAATTTAAAGCACTTCTAAGTCATTAGAGCTTAGCCAATGTTACTTCTGTTAATACAGAATACTAGGGTTTCCCTTTACAAATCCCAGAGACAGTCCAACTTTCTTATGTCTGAACAAGAGAGATTAATTTTGGAAATGGAGTCTGAATTCTAAAAGAAGCACATTTGGTCTCAGTGCAAAGACTAAGATGCAAAGTATGCCAGATATGACAGTGCTTTCAGTAACATGAGCAACTGTTTGTGAAGAACTATGCTGAAATCCTTCCAATGCTGCAAATAAGTTTCCAAATGTCTACTGAATGGTGAAGGAAGCACTTGAGGAACTCCCAGAGACTCAGGCTGGGTGAAAACAATCTTGGGACTGGAAAAGAAATGTAATAGCAACTGAGAAAATATCCTAACTCATCTCAGTATTTAGAAAAACAAAATAAAACCCCTCTGCCTACCAATTTTCTGACATTTATTTTATACATTTTAGATTCTTCAGCAACAGCTGGAATCATTTCAGACATTTGGGCAACAGACTCTGGAGAATATTAACACGGTAAAAGTAGAAAACAAATGCTCTTAAAATACAAAAGCCTCCTATTGCAGTTTTAGATACTGCCACAGGTGTTTTAAGTAAGATCTATTCTTAAGACTACTGTATACATTAAGTACACGTTTAATCATCTCTCCGTCTGGAAACAGCTGAGAACAGCTCACTTCTAGTTTCCTGCTCTTTCTTAGTCACAATATTATTCAGGGTCTTATAAAAACTATTTTAAAACCTCAGAAAAACAGAGGAAAAACAAAACTGAGTTAGGAAAAAAAAAAAA